TATCATTTAAGTAAAATTTAGGTTTTTGTTCTTTCAAATTGAGAAGTTTAGAATCAAATATTGTCTTTGAGCTTTGAAAAATGATTCTGAGTTAAGCCTGAGATATTTTAATTCGAAGAATATGTAAAAGTGCAATTAAAATGCTGCAAATTGCTTAAGAGATATTATTTAGAGGTGTGTTTTATTTCAATACAAATCAGTAATGACAGTTAGTGGGACTCTAGATAATAACAAGAATCCAGTGATTTAAGAGATAAAGACTCAGATGAAGCTCCATAACCACCTGAGCATCACCAAAACTATCCTTGAACTAAGCTTTATCCTAATCCAGAAATGTAGGAACGCTGGAATGATCATCTAACAAGCATTTGGCCATCTAAGAGATCCTGCAGGGCATAGTTTCTTATTCCATCAATCATCCAGTGAGCACTAGATAATGCTGATTTTCTGGCATGGGGCAAACTTAAAGCCAACCTATCTCTTATCTAATCTTCCTGCGTGTTACTATGGCTCTCAGCAGTGTAGTCAGGTGCAAAAAAATAATTTAACCTAATGATTAACAATTTAACCTAATGGAAGGAAACTGAGTATCAGTTCTCATCCATCTCTAAATTTGAAGTAAAGCAGGTCTGATTTTTGAATTATTATAATATACTATTACTGGGTGTATAATGAGAGGAAAATGGATCTTTATGTATGACAGAGTGATATAAAGGAGACAATTTTTAAATTGTGTATTTAAAATCTAAGAAGAATATCCTGTATACATTATTTTGATGTGACATTTCTACTTATTATGGCCCCTTACCAAAGTCTGACATTTTGTGTATTATAACATTTCATTAAGTCATATTTCTAAAATATTTTGAAATTATAAAAGTGCAATATGACAAGGTTAGAGAACTGGCAGGCTTCAGCAGCTCAGTGTTTGAACTTAGCCAAAGAAAATTCTGTCCTGCATTTGAGTGTCATGGCTGCATACAGTCAGCATCAACAAACACCATAGGCTTAAGAAATTTGAATAATTTGCAGAGTTGCACAGTCTGCAATATTTTCTGCTAAATTTGACCATGAGTTTTTCTTTTTCACCTGAGATGTGGAAAAAGAATTATGCAGCTGCTAGAACTATTCAAAATATTTGAATACAATGTAAAGAAGTCCTTTTGAATGTTTGTGGAGGGAACAGTAAAACTATATGGGTGGGTAAAGACGTGAATAGGAAAAAGCTCAAAAGCTCAGATTATTTAAAATTTGAAAAGCTCTCTAGACACCTAGTTACTTCAATATTTATGGAATTTATGGAATATATGCTTCAATATTTATGGAATATTGTCCTTTACCATATGTCTGCCCAGTCACACATATATAATACTACCACTGCTGTTCCACACAATATTCCTACTGCACTATACAATACTGCTAAAACAGCACAGCCATTACCACTCCTGCTACTGCTTCTATTCGTAGGGAATACTAATACTGCTACTCTGCCATCAGGAATTTTTGAAGGTTAAATACTTTGTAGATTATGAAGGGTAAAGATATGGTGGTAAAAACATAAATGCAGATGACAAGCATGCCTACAATATAAATTATGGAGATTTGAGTATGTACTTCAAACATTTAGGTATGTCTCACAAAAAACTTAATGAATAATGATGATTTTTTCCATTTAGATTCTCTCAATATTTAAGAAATGAATTGTAAAAAAAAACAAACCAGAGAAAAAAAAATGGATATTTTTAACACTTTCAAGAGGCAGATGGTAAAAATCTCCATACCATCTGAGACTTATCATCACCACATTTGTGCTCTGATTCCTATTTTTTTCTTATTTTAAGTGTTGGGATATCCATCTATGTCAGTTGTGCCTGACCTCACTTCTTCTTGTCTTTGATGAGGACTCAGAGATAATGAAACATACTATAATCAGTAAGCTACAGAGAAAGGTCACATTGCCAATAAATCTTATTAATAAAAGCAAAAATTTCTTTTCAGATTGTTGCATTGTAGTTCCTGCCTGCAGTAACAGACCCTCATGGACCCTTAAACTCAAGCTGTTAGAGAAGGTCAGATTTTGTTGACATTCAGGAACTGATAAAAATCTTGTCTGGAATCTGTCATCCTAGTCTGTCTCCATACTGTACAACAGAAGACAAAATGTTTCCAGTTCTGTGAGACACTGAATCAACCACTCCTTCACATCTGGATCTGTATGGGGAACTCCAAGAGAAGCTATTACACAGTTTGGAAACTGAGACCTTCCCTAAAGACCTTCCAACTAGCAATCAGTTGGGTTCATTTCAGCAGCTCCAGAGAACCTTCTTAAAATTAAAATGTATAAACAGTGATACAAAAAGAGGAGGACATAACAGCCAGTTCTCCAAGGAGGGATATTCTCACATACTTTCCCACTGCCAGAATATAATATTCCTCCTCATCCCTTTGTGGCAGCAGCTTTGGAATGGCCAAGCCAAGGGAAGAAGACACATAGACTCTATGAAGCAGAAGAAGGAAGATGTTTAGAGAAGAGCAAAAACAAAAGATGGAAATCAGGACAGGAGGAGGAAAATTTTGGGTCTCATGCCTTATCTTCAAAACTAGAGTACATCTAGACCCCATAATTCCTGATCTTCACAACAGAATAAGCATTTCTCTCTACTCCCAGAAAGGTACTTCTTAATATCTTTTCATCTGAAAGAAAAAATTAAATTGTGTAAATGAGGAATTAAGGACAGTGAATGCATGAAAATGTAATAAAAGGCAAATCCATTGTTAAAATTGTCCTATAGGGAAACAGTCTGTTCAAATTTAAACAAGTGCATCTATGATATATGGAGGAATAACTTCTACTTTAGTAATGTGGGAAACATTGTATGTACAATATAAAAAAATATCATGCAGAGAATTTCTAGGATAATTAAAAAATTGTCACTGATGAATATACGTTGGACATTATCCTTGAAAAGCCACACAGTTAATACAAAAAATTTTCTGTGAAGTATTTAATGAGCAGCTACACCAAAAGTTTGTCTTTACACTCTCAACTCAAATAATCAAAGAAAATGTTGTTTTTAGGAATTTATGATACAATCAATATGTGGTGCAATAAGGAATCGTCTACAATACCCAATTCTGCAGTGAACTGTAGTAGCACATATCCTAAGTGAAAATTAAGCATGCCATCAAATAAAGTGTGCAAAGAATCTGTTTAACTGTGTACAAACTTTCAGTGTACTGGCTCATATCAGACTATTTTTCTCTGTAAAAGTTGTTCTTGAGTCTCAACTTCATTAATTGAAACAGAAAATGATGCATAGAGAATTTATGACAAATATTACATAGTTGTGACTTGCTTTAAGCAGGTGATTCTAGAATAAGCTTTGCTCAGTTTAACATAGCTGTTTGCATCAAAATTTTACAGTCAGTAAACACATATTTTTTTCTTGCAGTAGTGACAAAAGTGTCTCCTGCATATGTTATTTGTCATTTCAGTAAATGGCTAGAATTTAATTTCTATTAAAAACACAGATCATTAATTTCAGAATTTGTTTCTAACACATATATCCAGGTTTTACAGGCCTGCCTGCCTGTGGGAAAATAGAACTCTTAGTTTTTCCTTTGCACTTCAATTATCTGTATTGTGTAACTCTATTGTGTCTTGTGCTCCTATTTAATATTTGCAGTGCATAATTAAAAAGTAATTCAGGGAAAATATTTCTTAACAAAAGTCCGCTTATGTATTTACTTCCTCAAAGAGGAAAAAAACCAAATTATATAACAGTCTTTGTTCTCAGCAAATCAAGACTGCTTTGGGTCATTGGTTCATTTTTCTGAAAGCTAAGAATTTCAAGAATTTAAATATCGGTTTGTAGCTCTTAGCTACATTTTAATTACAGTACGCTGCCTTTTCATCTATTATCTCTTCACTGTGAAGACATTTCCCATATCCATAACACTTTCCAGCTTTTTGATGGTGTCCTTCAGTGCTCCCAGGGTAATTGCATTGTAGGGCTTGGAGCTGGAGTAGGCTGGGACATAGCTTAGGTAATCATAGAGCAGTCAGCCCAGAAGAAATGTATCTTCTAAAATTTCTTCCACTGATGAGTAAAAAGCATATCATTTCAGCATGTGTACTTCTTTAGTAACTTCCCAAGTTTGTAGCATGTTTTGTTATTTGTTAGCATATTTTGAGAAGTACATGAATTCTCTTTAATTCATCCATGGAGAAATTGCTAAATGATTTGCCATCATTCATAATTTCATTTTAATGGAGTTTAGAGATTTATTAAGAGCATTCTGTTTTCAAGTATTGTTTTGGAATGTGATGCAAAGTTCAAGGGCCCATTGTAGTGGAGCATAGGGAGTACACATAACAGAAAGATAATGCCTACTGTGAAGAATTCGTAATTTGAATTTAAGTTGGTGAGATAAACAGTGTAGGAAGCATGGGGTAACAGATAGAATAATGAGGAAATGGCCTCAAGCTGTGTCAGGGGAGCTGCAAGTTGGACATTAGGAAATATTTCTTCCACTGGAAGAGTTGCTAAGCACAGGAATGGGTTTTCTAGGGAAATGTTGGATTCACCATCCCTGGAGGTGTTCAGGAAATGACTGGATGTGGCAGTTGTTGTGGTTTATCTGTCACGGTGGTGCTCTGTCAGAAGTTGGACTCAATAAACTTGCGTGAGAGCCTGGAGGGGTTGCTGGCTCCAAACATTTCAGTGTGTGTGTGTGTGTGTGGCGAGGGGCAGCTCGGGTCTTTCTCTGGTGAGGTGATGAGCTGCCCCTTACACCCCACCCTTCCCCCAGCCTGTATCCCAGCCCTGCAGTGGCTGCCAGTCCCTGGCACACTGGAGGAAATGCTCCACACCTGACCCTGGAGCGCCTAACCCAGCTCCCATGTGGCCAAATGACTGCAATCCCCAGCTGGGGAAGCGCCCAGGAGGTCGAGTGGTATTTAAAGCAGGAGGAAACACATGTCTTGACCCTACCTTCTTTTTGCATTTCCATCAGCTGAACACAACAGGAACCAGAAGTGATAACTATGTTTGGGTTTTTTTGCATATCTTTCTGCCTTTCTCCTTTTAATTCCCCCTTAGAATTTTCAAGTTACTTAAAACTGAATGAGCCTAGAATTTACTAAGTTGAATGGGCAGAATTAATGCTTTGAGAAGTGTTTCATGTTGACTGAATGCTGTTCTAACCCTTTTGCTAAAGTCCTCTGATTTTCTGAGGTTGCCAGTAAAGTCTTCTTTCTTGTTTTGACCTCGTGAGGATATCTTATTAGTATTTCTCCTGTGACTATAACTCAGAGTACATGAAAAACTGTAAACCCTTTTAAAAGCCACGTTGAGTGAGATTTTTGGGACCTTACATCTTGGAGGTATTTTCCAACCTTAATGATTCCATGATTCTATGTTCAACAGTGCTGTAAACCAAAGAGGAGTTCATGCTTGTTGAGCAGGCTGGACATCCAGACTGGATGACAGAGGCCCGCCAAAGCCCTTTTATTACTCCCCTGCTCAACTGGGCAGGGTAGAGAAAATATAATAGAAGGTTCTTGGATTGAGGTAAGGACAGGAAGATCACTAAGAAATTAGAGTCATGGAGAGAACAGAATGGGAAAGTAATTGAATTTACTAATCAAAATCAGCATAGGACAATGAGAAGTTAATCTTAAAACACCTTCAAATCAACCACCCCTCCTCTGTGATTCCCATTTCTGTCTTCTCTCCTGCCACCAGTTCAGTGGGATGGGGAATGGGTGTCACATACTGTATCTGTCACTGCTTCCTCATCAGGAGAAGGAATTCTTCCCCTGCTCTAATGTGGCAGCCCTCTCACGGGAGATAGGACTCTACAAACTTCTCCCAGGTGAGTCCTTTCCAAGGAGTGCATTCCTTCAGAAACAGGTTACTCCTGTGTGGGTCCCTTGTGGAGTCACCAGTCCTTCCAGCAACCCTGCTCCAGCATGGACTTCTCCCTCACAGGGCCACAGATCCTGACAGGAGCCTGCTTCCCACAGAGTCATAGCCTTCTTTTGGGCATCCAGCTGCTCCAGCATGGGGTCCTCCAGGGTCTGTAGGTCTCTGCTCCACCATGGAGCTCCACTGGCTGCAGGGGCACTGCTGCCTCACCATGGTCTTTGCCATGGGCTGATGGGCTGGTACCTGGCACCTCCTCCCTCTCCTACTTCACTGACTTTGGTGTTTTTCTCACATATATTGACTTTTCTCTGGTTGCATTTTCCTTCTGCTCAGTAACTTCTTCCTCTTCTGAAATCCAGAGGCACTACCATTGTCACTGATGGGCTCAGCTTTGGCCGGTGACACATCTGTCTTGGAGCCATCTGGCACTGGATCTACTGGATGTAGGGGAAGCTTCTGGCAGTTTCTCACAGAAAGCACTGCTGAAATGCTCCCTCTGTCCCCCACCCTGCTGCTACTGAAAGTTTGCCACACAAACTGGAGGAAAAGCAAGACAAATAGTGTCAAGATATGTTGCTGTCACGTAAATGTGTATACACAGAACTTCAGTAAGAATGACTTGAATCCAAGATTTGCACTGTATACATTTTGAGAAAGTCATCTTGACTTTCTAACCAAATTGTTTTCTTGTGTTTTGGCCCCAAAGGAGCACTTTGAAAAGACCAGACAGTAAACTGCTTCCTTTATAATTCTGGGCTCTAACAGAAGTGTCAAGAAGGTGATGAGAACATATTACACTCTCATAGTATAAGCCACAAGCATCATTTTATAGCAAACCATCTGTCAGCTAGTAGAGAAAGCAGTGTGGAGATATTTTAGTTTTCCTGAACTTATTATACATCCTAACACACATAGCATGCCTTCACAAAACATAATATACTAATGAGCATTAATAAAAGGTAATTGTGTGTGTCCACCCAGGATTCCAGCATTGCTTCTGGAACTGTGCCAGTGTGGACTTTCAAGGTTAGGAAAACACAATGATATTAACAGTTCCAAAAATTCCCTCAAAATAGACTGGTTTCTTGAGGGTGGGGCCATTGCTGACATATAAATTTAGCAGGAACACGGCAGAAAACATGCCTGACTCTATCACTGATATTCATCCCAGCAACCAAGAGCTACTAAAACATGACTATTGGTGCCCATAGGAGGGAGAAGCACTTCCAAAAAGAGGTTTTTATTCCATTTTAAGATAGCTAATTAATCTCTGGAATGAATCACCTTTTAAAAAGTTTAAAAATAAGAGAAAGAGAGAAATTATTTAGTTAGGACCATGTAGTAATGCAGTATTTATGTAGTAAAAAACACAATAAGATTTGACACTAAATGTGAAAAAAACAGAAGAGATTGCTTATGTTTAGAAAGATTGTAAATATTTGTGAGCCAGTATCCTAACGTTTCCTCTTCAAAATCTTAATTTCCTTTTCATTTAGACTTGTACCTCTTGTAATGGATAAAAACAAAAACACATTCATCAATAAAGTATAAATTAAATATGCTTATTTTCTGTTCAGCTGGGCCCAGTGTATCAGTGTTCTGAATACTTGAAGTGCTTGTTCATACAACAGTTGTCAGATATCTGTGGGACCGCTTCTGTCACTAAATGTTGATTGATTTGGTACGAATTTCTTTGAAATATGTTTACTTCATTTATCACCACTTGTTCAGGCCTCCATAAAATTATCTAAGGAAAACTAAAATAAAGGAGTAATTTACTTACAATGTTTTCTCAGTGGTAAATCCCTTGTCTTAGTAAAACTCATTACAGCCTTTTTCTCATCTGTCCAATATATTTTACTGCAAAAAGATTTCCCCAAATCCCCTAGAAGTTTTACAATAATGTTTGACAAGACAAAGTGGAAAAAGTATTCACTTTGAAGTTCATGATGCAGCAAAAGAGAGCTGCTGATACATCCCCCTTGTAAACTCTACTATTGGCTGCTGTTTTAGAAGGACCATCTCCATCGTGTGGTACCACCAATATAGTTTTCATTCCTGACCAAACTGAGGCACTAGTACATTTTAATTTTATTTTTTTTTAACCCAGAGTGAATCCTATATTTGGCCTATTAGCTTCACCACATGCTTATGAAAAATCATTTACTTTTTTCATCCAACTTTTAAATTTTAATTAAATTCTTTTCCACCTGGATTATCTTGCTCTTTTGTTCAATTTCAAGTAATGTGTTCATTTTGTGTTTCCTGAAAATAATCTTTCTTATTTTAATAACTAATATTTCTAGTTTTTCTTTATTTGTGGTATTTGAATAAACATTTCCAGTCTGGAGAAGATGATAAATGTTGCTATAAAAGGGGAGCAAATTGCATCCCCATCCACCAAATAATAGTGCTAATCATCTCAGCAGCTATTCACATGATTTAAAGATCCAAAAAAAACCAATAGAAGCATTTATTTACCTCTAGAAGGTGCTAAATAAAGAGTTACCCTTAGAATTTATCATGAAAGAAACCACATGGGAGGAACCAATTGCAACACTTGGCATAAGAATTCAGCTTCTTGATGAATATATAGGTAGAGAATATTCTGGAGGATTGCAGAGGCCACTCTATAACATAATTACATTCTGAAATAGTTAAAATGGTGAGGCAAGATACACACAGTGGCCAGGAACTGAGCAAACAAAGCTGAATTTTGCCTGTATTGTCTCAGTGCTATCTTCCTTGTGGGTAACGTACAGGCTCAAGCTGTTTCATTTAGATCTGACCATGTGCTGTGGCTCCCTGAGCTGTTCTTCTGAAGAATTTATATGCTGGCTCACCTGTAAAAGGGAAATAAAATGCATACTGTCACCAGGGAAGGTAAAGAAGACAGCACACGACCAAACTTTTTCTCCGCCTCTTTTTCTAAAGGCTGAGGCCATCTCTCCCCTCAGAAGAGTGAGGGTTTCAGAACATATCTGAAATCTTTAACCCATGTTTCATCATAATGCTACTGTTGTCTAGAATTGAAAGATAAACTTTCCAGATGATATTAAAGTGGTAACACAAAGAGAAGTTTTTAAATGAAAACTTTAGTGTTCTCAAAATATAGCTATGCCCACATCTGGCATCAGATTTTCACAAATTTTATGAGTTTAATTAATTAGCAGATCTAGCAAGTACATCCCATAGGAGACCAGATGCCCTGGTAACCCCCTCTGGGGCCTGCCTAAGTCTCTCCAAGGGTTCTTAGCCCTGTATTTTGTTATGTCTCCCAGGTGCTGGTGCAAAACAAGGTGACAATCCCTGACAATACTGTGGGATCTCATTAAACAGATTTCCACTGAGTCTTCAAATCCTTTACAGCGTGCAGGAGGAAGGTGTGCATATGTACAAAACTATGTCTTGTATCTATGAAGCCTTCCTAAATTTTGCTAGGAATGACTAATACAAAAGCTGTGGTCCAAAAAGGCTTCTTTGTAAATATCTGGCAATTGAAATAGTGGGGTAGATGACTGCACAGGATCTCTTATTTAAAGAAAGAAAAGCTCTAGTTTGGTGAAACTTTGAAGCATCTTGTTAGGAACTGAACAGGGCATTTATAACAACCAATATTTTGACCCCTAAGAGTCTATTACTTTTGCTCAACTGGTAGATTTAGCTGGAAGTAATAGATGAACATTTTATTTCAGGATTATACGTGAAAGAAATAGCTCATATTAGTGCCTTTACATTAACAGGTCTGTTCTAGTAATCTGAATTGAAGGTATATGCATGTTTTATGTGCACTTTATACTGCTGAATTTCATGAATCAAAATGTATATAAGCAGTGGTGAAAAATACATGCCATACAGTGAGATGAATGTAAAGGCCATTCTAATTTCTTTTTTTTTTCCTATGTTCATTTTTTCCTTCTCCCTGCTGAGTAGCTCATTTTGCCTATCAGCACAGAATAGGCTGTGAAGTATATTTCTAATGTTGCCTAAATTAAACCTTTGAATTTTTCAAAGGAGTGCTTTACTGCTGGAACACAATATTTAGGGACAGATTTTTCAATAATCCTATTACTAGGATTATAGGCTAGGGCTAGTGGAATGTCTGGTGCTTTCAGCTTCCAATTAATGACTGCAATTCCTGCATATAAATTTGCACAGTAATTTAGTTGCAGTTCATTTATCAAACAAGAGTAGAACACCTTCCAAGAAATCAGATCTTAAAGCTATTATCACCTATAAATTCTATTATTTACTAAAATCTTCTTCTAATCCAAAGTTGTGAATATAGAATATCTTGTGTTTTTTTAAATTATTTTCTAAGGAAAAAAATGAGAATACCTCAGATGAAGCATGAACTGTTATTCATTACTTAATTTGAATTTACATGGCTGCATATACAAATTAGATTGTGCTAATAATTTTTATTCCAATGGTATTTAAATGGCTTTTTTTAATTACAGAGTCTAATTTATATCTGGAATTTGACAAGTGTCAAGTACTTTAAAACTCATCCTATCTCTCAGATACTCACACACCTAATTTCTTAGGAAGGAGATGTAAAGTAAGAGATCCCATTTATAGGTAAGTGTATGTGTGAGTAGAGGAATGAGAAAACTGAATCTAATCCTCCTATTTATAGAGGTAAGTATCCAAGAATGGAACAACCTGTTCATTTGGAAGTGATGCTGCTAACTTGGGAGGAAGCATTGCAACTTGGTAAAACCTTCTGGGGAGACTTTTTTGATCCATTTATTAAGATAAAAACCGCAATGATTATTTCTATTTAGATAAAACATAGGGGGGTAAAAAGAAAGCTTCACACATAATGAACATCTTGCTGAAGAAATGTTTAGAATTTTTGCCTATACATGGGTTTTGCTAAAGCAGTATTCAAAGTGTACTTCATGGGGCTCTTAGAGTGTACTCCATAGAGCTTGTGAGCAGCAACTGGTCTGTTCCCAAGGGAATGGAGTGGAGTACAGGATGCACAGTTCTGATAGAGGGGAAAATGGAGAGCAGGTGGGTAAGTATGGGGAGACCCTGTGTCCCTGAGATAGATAAGAGGCAAGGACATTAATTTCAGAATGTACCAAAAGTTCAGAATGTCTTGAGAAACAGGAGAAAACTCTTCAGGAAGTGGTTTAATTAGTGTGACTTGTTCCCACCTCTGTATTCCCAGAAAGGGAGTCAGAACTAAACAAGTTTTGTATCTATCTACAGCATACAGTTCAATGCCCTGCATAGGCATGCTTGCTGTAACATTTTTTGAAATGTGTCCAGACTAGGTGTTGTAAAGTAACCTGGGTCTCCACCACTGCCTTAGTCAGCACTCAAAATACTGCCCATGTGCTCTCTCACACACCCTCAGTGGGACAAAGGGGAGAAAGCAGGGAGATGATAATGAGAAAGGACCATGTGGAAAAAAAGGAAGATCTCTTATGAGTAACACCACTGGCAATAAAGATTCTACCCGGGGAAAAAGAATCTATTACAAGTAAAAATAAATATTTAATTAGTGACTTCAGTAGACTGAAACAAAAAGACAAACATTAAAGCAGAGTTTTTACTTTCCCCTTTGCTAGGCTCACATCAACACAGACAGCTCATTCAGCCCTCAGTGCCAACACTTTGGCACCTGCACCCCCTCCAACACTGACTCAGGTGTGTGAAATAAGGGCAGCTTCAGTCTTTCCTAGCTGTGGTGCAATCACAGGCACTTCATGGACTTTTGAATGCTTGTAATTAAAAAATCTGACTAGAAAGGCTAGCTGAAATATGTAACAAATATTGCAGATATCTCAGCAGATAGGTGTGTGTGAGGAACATTCTTTTCTCACATACAGAGTAACAGGACACATCTATTCCTGTGTAGTGTTTCAACTTGGGTAACAATTACTGGTCTTGTTCAAATGCTGAGGAGACAGAGAAAGCAGGGTCCTGCTGTAGTTAGTGACTTTCTTCAGCTCTGGAAGCTGTGACATTATTAAGTCCCTCCTTGACTTCCTTCCAGGCAAGTACAGGATTGTTCACATCCCCTTTAACAGGATCATGATGACTGTTGTTCTCTCCTGATTATAGTGTTTCAAACTTACACTAGTCTTTGAATTACTTTCAGTCCTGAAGAATTTGGGAAATATTGGTTTGGAACCTCTGCCTGGAGAAATAGCAGAGAAGGAGGAGGTAATAGATATGTGCTACTCCTTTCTTTGCATCTAACACAGGAAATACTGGGGTGTTTCACTGCTTTTGACACAGGAAATACCGGGGGTCTCTCATCAAATCTTTTCAGTGTCAGATATGGATAAAAAGAAGTTTCACCCTTCTGTCCAGAACCCCTGACAATGTCCCCACTTCTCTCTGTTTCTCTGCTACTCACAAACTACTTTTAAACTCAATCTGAAGAAACAGAAGTTATTTTAATAAATATGTCTCCCCCGCCTTACAACCTCTGTC